TCATTGACCGGCTTTCCAAAGTTGCTCATTTTCTGGCGGTCAAAGAGACAATCACTGCTAGTCAGCTTGCTACTCTCTACATGTCCAGAATTGTTTCACTTCACGGAATTCCACTGGTTATCAGTTCAGACCGTGGCAGCTTATTCACTTCAAGGTTTTGGGCGAGTTTCCAAGAAGCTATGGGAACTCATCTGTCGTTCAGTACTGCGTTTCATCCTCAGTCGCAAGGACAGGTTGAACGTGTCAACCAAGTTCTCGAAGACATGCTTCGAGCTTGTGTAATCTCATTCGGCAAGAAATGGGAGGAATCTCTTCCATATGCCGAGTTCCCTTATAATAATAGCTATCAAGCTAGTCTGAAGATGTCCCCCTTCGAAGTGCTATATGGACGAAAGTGTCGAACCCCTCTGAATTGGTCAGAAACTGGGGAACATCCACTCTTTGGTCCGGATATTATCCAACAGGCCGAAGAACAAGTTCGCATTATTCGCGAGAATCTCAAGACTGCTCAGTCACGTCAGAAAAGTCAGTATGACCGTCATCACCAAGACATGGTCTACCAACCTGGCGAAAAGGCTTATCTTCGAGTTACACCAATGAAGGGTGCACACCGCTTCGGGATCAAAGGAAAGCTAGCTCCCCGCTATATCGGCCCCTTCACTATTCTCGAAAGGTGTGGAAAAGTGGCATATCAACTGGAGCTTCCGTTGAACCTTTCTCAGGTTCACGATGTGTTCCACGTGTCACAACTCCGACGCTGCTTCAAGGACCCAATCCGAGCAGTGGATCATGAAGCGCTTGAATTGCAACAGGACCTCTCCTATAAAGAGCATCCGGTCCGCATTCTCGACCAAGCCGAACGCCGCACACGTCAGAAAGCGATCAAGTTCCTCAAGGTCCAGTGGTCGAATCACTCTGAAGACGAAGCCACCTGGGAATGCGAGGATCGTCTTCGTGATGAATACCCCGCACTGTTTCCTTCTACCTCCTAAATCTCGGGATGAGATTTCTTGTAGTGGAGGAGATTTGTAACGCCCGGATAATCATGCTACAGTGATCTCACGTTAATGGTGACACGTCACCTCTGTCACTGTAATTAATCTCGGGTTAATTCAAAACCGTTTCAAAATTTAACCCTTAATAAGTCAAACGACAAAAGTTTTCAAAATATTAAACTAAAGTGTTCGGTTTGTACTAAATATTACATAGATAATTATGGTGTAGGAGATACAGTTTTATAAAATGCATAAATATTTTAAATTAAATTAAAACAGAAAAGAAACTGCGAAAATAAAAATAAAAAAACAAAAAAAAGGAAAGAGAGAAAGGCCCCCCACTGGGCTTCGGCCCAGCAGGCCGGCCCATTCGGCCACCGGCCCAACCGGCCACCAGCCGGCGCCCCCATAACCCCCACTCCTCCCGTGACCTAGATCGACCCCAACCACCCACTTCCCCCACTCCCTCGTTCCCTCCCCCCTCCCGATCCGATCTGGATCGGGGGAACGACTCCGCCGCCCGGAACGAACCGCGCCGCCGCCTGGACCTCGCCAGACCTCCCCGCCGGACTGCCTCCCCTCCGGCGGACGTCTCCAACCCCACCTCGA